AATAATGTTGGGACAATTGTTGCAGTTCTTATGGCAAAGGTCTTTCAAAAATTAATTAAGGCAATTGCAAAGATTCTTATTTCAAGTGATAAAATCAATGTTAAGCTTGGGAATATTATATTTTTTGATACTCATTTACTTGAAGGTAATTCAACAAAAAAAGTGTAAAGGACGATATAGATAAAAATTTGAAGTGATAAAGAAAATTCTCAAAAAGGAGAATAGGTAACTTGAATTTTTACACTATCATAATTAAATATTTTAAAGTCTACAATTTTTTGTTTTGCTTATAAATTTGGTTAAAAATTGTTTTTGTTAAAAAAAAAAGTAAGTTGTGCAAACAAGTGATATTTACTTATTAACTTAATTATATTTTATTATTTGTTTTATTCAATCAAGAGTTAGTCAATTTTAGCATTTAATTACTTGTTATAAACACTTTCAATGTGTGCAAAATTGAATTCATAACTCAAATATATCATATCAATCTTTACTCCTTTTATATGTGTGATGCTACAAATTTTCTAATCTAAAACTCTATATTTTGTTTAGTCATACACCTCTATTTTTCATGTTAAATTTTCTAACACTTTTAAATATCACATTTTAACACGGGCATATTAAATTTGACCCGTCTTGAAGTTTGGTGACATGCCTAAAATTATCACATGTTTAGAGTGGAGACTTAAATATAATTTATGCACACTTTTTTCTTCCTAATTCGTTTTCTTTTAAAAGATAAAATTGTCGCCGATACCAAGTGTTAAAGGGAATATAATGACATAATGTTAAACCATCAATATTACTCAAACGTTTAAAAAGATTGCTTTAGAAAATGATAATTAATTAGGACATGTGGGTTCATAACCATGGAGGTTAGGAGAAATAAATAATTAATAATCGACATCAATTCAAATATAAGAATCATTTTAAAGAGTTAATAAGACTGAGACCATTCATCATTTCACTATGCAAATAGGAGAACAAATAGGGATTACTTCTTTACATCCGAAACATGTGATATCGTTTTCATTTTCCTCAAACTCTCATGTCTATCACAGTCCGAGCTTCTTTTCTGGTTTCACAGTAGACACCTGATTCATGTTCATGCCTTGCCAACGTAATCCTCTTATCAACTCTCTTTCACGTTGCCTTGTATATTTGTCTTTTATAAATGCAGGTTCATGCATTTAATAATCAAGGTAGAAACAATCAAACTACTGCTTATTTCTTATAATCTTTTTTCTTTTTTCTTCTTCTTTTTTCATATTTTTGGTAAAAAGCTTTTTTCCATAAGGAAATAATTGCTTCAATACAAGATGAGACCAAAGTTGACCAAGCTCAATGAACAGGTGCAAGAAATGAAACTAAACGAATACTACAAATAAAATAATTAATTATCGTGGCATTGACTCATTAATTAATCCCTTTAGTGATTGACTCATTAGCCTATTTTATTTTATTAACAAGAAGCTCGTTTCGTTTATGTACTGATAAAGTGTGCCGGAACCAAATGATGAGCAACATAATTGATTTACCTCCTAATAAAATTTATCTGAGTTCGGAGGGGAAAAAAAACTTAGCAATTGCTTGTAGGTATGCAAAACAGGCTCCTAACTCATTTAGTTGTACAATTACCTTTGATTTCATCTATTACGACTTTACAATCCAACTCTATAATGACTCTATGATATCCCAATCCCATTAGCCAATTGATGGCTTCCTGCATGCAAGAGCTTCGGTAAGCAGAATAGATCCATTAAAAATAAGACATGTAACTAAAAACTTTCATGTGCCATCACATAGGGGTAAACCCACTCCAAATTCCCTTTGTTTCACAAAAACAACGGCATCAACATGACATTTACTAGGGGGAAAAAAGCTTTTCTTGCCTCTTTATTTAAAAATAAAAAGATAATGAGTGGTTATTTAGAGAAAAGTATGAAAATTGAATATGAAGTAGAAAAATCAAGAGAATAAATAAATTAAAAACTAATGAAAGAAAAAGTGATTTAGAAGCAGTTATAAAGATAAATTAGTTCAAAACTTACATACACCAAAAAAGATATATCTTTTATTAATAGTAAGTATGGATTAATAATGCAGATAATCATCGACATGTGGTTTATGCCATGAACATTGCTAATTGCTGTTTTGAAGATTCTTGGTTACATTGACTCGTTAGCCTATTCAAAATCCTAATATAAAATTTCTTTAAGTAAACTACTAGATCAGACTAACTTATATGAAAAACAGACCAAATTAAAAAGAAAAATAGTGTGTGTATATATATATATATATATATAAAGGATATAATAACATCGATATAATTTTTACTAAGTATTACATTGTTCAATATCATTGATTTAGAAATTGATTACATTCCAAAAGGATTACAGAACAATGTATTTATAAGAGTTAGAAACAAACTAACTCTAACTAACTCAAACTAGAAAAACTAACTAACTTGTAATAACAACTTTCATCCATTTCCCTTAACATCCCCCCTCAAACTCATGGTGTCCAAAGTGGTAACCATGAGTTTGTTTCGAAAATGATGAAAGTGTTGCTTAGCTAGAGGTTTGGTAAGCGTATCTGCAACTTGATATTTTGCAGGAAGATGAATGACTTTTACTTCATTCTGTTTGACTTTATCTCTCACAAAGTGCAGGTCCAGCTCAAAATGTTTCGTTTTGGAATGCAACACAGGATTGGCAGTAATGAGTACTGCACTTAAATTATCACAGTAAATTCGGGGAAGAGACTTTGGAACCCTCAATTCACTTAACAGTGACTGTATCCAGATAATATCTGCTGCTACATCAGCTATGCTACGATATTCAGCTTCTGTTGTACTTCTAGAGACAGATTTTTGTTTTCTTGATGACCAGGAAATAAGATTGGAGCCTAGATACACACAATAGCCACTGGTTGACTTTCTATCATCTTTATCATTTCCCCAATCTGAGTCACAGAAGCCAGCCAGATTTAGTTGCTTATTCTTTTGAATGAGAAGACCATGATGGATGGTTCCTTGTAGATACCTCAGAATTCTTTTTACTGCCTTCCAATGATGTTCTTGTGGGCAGTGCATATATTGGCAAACCTTATTAACTGCAAAAGAGACATCCGGACGAGTAATGGTGAGATATTGAAGTGCTCCAACTATAGACCTGTAAAAGGATGGATCTGGTACTGATGTTGTCTCATTTTCTGTCAACTTCAGATTAGCAAGCATAGGTGTAGGTTGTGGCGTTGAATCACTCATGCTGGCCTTATGAAGAATTTCTCTTAGATATTTTGTTTGAGTCAAAAGGAGATTACCTTCCTTTGTGGTAGTTACTTCAACACCTAGAAAGTAGTGGAGAGAACCAAGATCCTTTAGAGAAAACTTGTCATGAAGAAAGGAAATTACAGACCTTATTTCTTCCTTCGAGTTGCCTGTAATAATGATATCATCTACATAGATAAGTAGCATGAGTGTTGTGGTTTTGGAGAACCGCACAAACAATGAGGTATCACTCTTGGTTGAATGAAAACCCATCTGAATAAGTGTATTGCTGAGCTTACAATACCAGGACCTTGGTGCCTGTTTCAGACCATATATTGCTTTGTTTAGCTTACAAACCTTGTCTTTGTGTTGAGTGTTGAATCCAGGTGGCTGAGACATATAAACTGATTCTTGAAGGTCTCCATGAAGAAACACATTATTGATATCTATCTGATGTATAGGCCACTGATTGGTGATAGCAAGGGATAAAACGATTCTGACTGTTGTTGGCTTGACTACTGGACTGAATGTCTCTGAAAAATCCAAACCTGGTTTTTGATTGTAACCTTTAGCCACCAGTCTGGCTTTATGTCTTTGGAAGCTCCCATCTGGGTTGTATTTGGACTTAAAAATCCACTTGCATCCTATAGGTTTGTATCCAATAGGTAAATCTACTAGAGACCAAGTTTGATTGGATACAAGAGCTTGATACTCATCCTTCATAGCCTTTAGCCATTCAGGTTTTGCTAAAGCTTCTTTCACTGTGTTTGGCTCAATAGTATGATCATAGGATGACTTCACGAGTGCAGCGGCATAAGTTTTGGGCTTAAAAATTCCTGCCTTAGACCTGGTGGTCATGAGATGAGCATTTTGTGGACCACTTGATGAGACACCTGGTTCAATTATTGGAACAGTTGCTACAGCAGCAGGATTAGTATCATTCAGAGATAAAGCAGTAGTAGTAACTATAGGATTAGAATTAGAATGATGATTATTTTGGGATGATGATGTCAAAACAGTAAGATGACTTAAATCAGAATTATTATGAACAGAATTGGATGATCTAATTGTAGGAATAAAGGGATTAGGTTGTGTTTGACAGGGAAAAACAGTTTCAAAAAATTTAACGTTTCTAGAGATATATCTCTTTCCACTTGGAGAGAGGCAGATGTACCCCTTGTGACTAGGACTATATCCTAGAAAAAGACATTGTTGAGATTTGAAATCAAATTTATGGGGATTATAAGGCCTTAACAATGGATAACAAGCACAACCAAATATTTTGAGAAACTTGTAATCAGGTGCTTTGTGAAACAACATTTCATAAGGACTAGCATTATCAAGGTTGGGTGTAGGTAACATATTAATAAGAGATGTAGCAGTTAGAAAGGCTTCTCCCCAAAAACTTAAAGGGAGAGAAGCTTGAGCTAAAAGAGTTAAGCCTGTTTCAGTAATATGCCTATGTTTGCGTTCAGGGCTTCCATTTTGTTGGTGTGTGTGTGGGCAAGATAGTCTATGTATAATTCCATTTTGTTTTAAGTAAGGAGAAAATGTAAGGAACTCTTTTGCATTATCAGATTGAAGGGCTTTGAGTTTAGTACCAAGTTGTTTTTCAGCAAGGGATTTGAGTTGTAAAAATGCATATAAAGCTTGAGACTTGTATTGTAAAAGATAGATCCAACTATATTTAGAGAATGCATCAAGAAATACAATATAGTATCTGCTGCCATCAGTGGAAGCAATAGGAGAAGGTCCCCATATGTCAGTAAACACAAGCTCTAATGGCTTAGAATATACAGTTGTAGATTGTATAAAAGGTAATTGATGTACTTTCCCTAAACAGCAAGAGTGACAGTTAAGATTGTTATTAGTATTACAAGAAATTTGACATTTATCTAAAACAGTTTTGACTATTTTGGAGGAGGGGTGGCCAAGTCTTGCATGCCACAACTGAAGATTGCTAAAGGATTGAGCAGAATTAAGTTCTGTGACAGCTTGATAAGCAGAATAAGAATCAGTTGTCTTTAAGTTTGGAAAAACATATAGGCCTTGCTGAAGCCTACCTTGCAGAATAATCTGGTTGGTATCCTGCGTTTTAACATTACAAACGTCAGGGAAAAATTCAAAATATACACAATTGTCCCTAGCAAATTTAGATACACTCAATAGGTTTTTAGTGATAGAAGGTACATGAAGTAATTGATTTAACATAAAACGTCTAGAAGTGTTTGGCATAGTCAGTTTAGAGTAACCAAAGTTTCGAATTTTCAAACCTGCACCATTACCAATTTTGACATTGTCCGAGCCTTGATAGGAGGATTTGGCTAACAGATTTGCTTCATCATTGGTCATATGATGTGAGGCCCCACTATCAGGATACCACAAAGGATCTTGAACAGTTGATGGAATGGCAATGCTTCCTTGGTCAGAATGGACTGATGCATTGGAATGAAATTGAGAGGTATTAGCCTGTGGAGGTTGTTGAAATTCTTGATTATACCTCTGCCAACAATCAATAGCCACATGCCCAAATTTTCCACAAATCTGACACTGCAGTTTAGGATTATTCCAATTATTTTGATTGGATTGAAACCAATTGTTTCTGTCAAATCCTCTTCCGGATGTATTTCTTCCTCTTCATAGTTATTGAAGCCGCCTCTATTGTTGTTTCTTCCTCCACGACCATAATTGGTGCCACGGGCATATTGTTGTTCTCCTCTTCCTCTTCCAAAATGACCCATTTGAGAGTTTACTGTTGCAGTATTTGCTTGAATGAAATTTTGTTCTGTCTTTCTGTGTTTCTCAAATCTTTCTTCTTGTGCTAATAACAGTGCCTCAATATCATCTACTGAGTAAGGATCCAAACGAGATGTAATACATGTAATAAAAGAATCAAATTCTTCCGGAAGCCCATCAAGAATGGCCTCAATATGTTCTTCTTCTGAAATTGGTGAACCAACAGCTGCTAGTGAATCTACAGTCTTTTTAATTGAAAGAAGATATTTTGTTACCGTGCTGTTTTTCTTTGACATTTGTAACTGTAGCTTTAGTTTCTTGATCTTTGCTCGGGTCTGTGATGCAAAATAGGTTTCCAGCCGTTTCCATATTTGATGAGTGCGCACCAGTCCAACCATTTTTGTCAAGATAGGAGTAGTCATTGATGCCAATAGCCATGCCACTACTAGTTGATCTTGTTGGTCATACTGCAAATATTCTTCCCTGATCTTGTTTTCTGCTTCATCTTCTTTGGTCTTGAATTTTTCTGGAACTGAGTTTTCAAGAAGGTATTTCCCAAGGTTGAATCCACGAATTGTAGCATGAACTTGTTGTTCCCAGATGAGAAAGTTTTCATCATCAAGTTTTGTGGATATAGGTGTGTTGAAGGTTTGCAGATTGAATGAGGAAGCCATTGCGGAAGACAATTGTTACCCACTCAAGGCTCTTGATACCATGTTTGATTTTGAGAGAGAAGATGAAAATGTGAATATCATTGATTTAGAAATTGATTACATTCCAAAAGGATTACAGAACAATGTATTTATAAGAGTTAGAAACAAACTAACTCTAACTAACTCAAACTAGAAAAACTAACTTGTAATAACAACTTTCATCCATTTCCCTTAACACACCGATATAATTTTTACTAAGTATTACATTGTTCAATAATTTTATATTAAATGTGAATTTTTGTAAATTTAATCGCTAAATTGAAAGTTCTTTACTATTAGATTATATATACAAAATTTTATATTAATTCAAGATGATTTGATACTTTATTCTTATAAAACAAAATTGACGTAATATATACATTTTAAAATATGAACACTTTGATCACCTTCAAGTTATTATTCAATTTTAACAAAATTTGATATGCACATATAAAGTAATATGAACTCTCAATCTAACGGTTGAATTTATAAAATTCACAATTAATATAAAGTTATTGAACGCTGTAATACTTAGTAAAAGTTATACCAGTGGAATTATAACTCTCATATATATATATATAAACAAGGCAAAGGTCAAAATTTGACCTGGAAACTATAAAACATGTCAAGTCGGACCTAACTTGCCTTCTTTCCACCCCTATTTACCAGACAACCAATGATTTGGATAGGCCCAGATTGGCAGGGGGAGCACCATCTATTTCAGTATTTGCGAATAAACCATAGATATGAAGTTTTGTTTGAAGTTTACTTGATCTTGTGAGCTTATCAAAATTCAAATGGCTCTTGCACCATTTACAATATTTATAGGAATCGCATTTGAGGTTCCAACCTTCTTGTTTTTAATCTAACGCATGTAGACTGTTAACAATATTTATAACGAGATAGTTTTTAGTTTTTCAGTCAAATAAAAAGAGTATCAATTTGTTTTGGCATTGACAATTGAAACACTGTGAGAAAGAAGCAAATATTTGTTTTTCCTTTCACGTTATGTCTCTTAGAACTTGTGTCGCGTTTCTTAAACACATACTCTAAAGCCTCAAATCAGAACACATAATACAGGCAAGTTTAAGGCTTCGGACATTCTTGGACCCAAATAAAAAACGGCCACAGGCATTTTGGACCCAAAAAAAAGGGGTTCGGACATTCTTGGACCAAAAACAAACGCTTCAGCCATTCGAGCGCTCAAACACCTCATATCATTAATTCATTACCCAGATACATAATAGTTTTGATGCAAAGTAAGATCACGATGATAATAGAGAAAATTATACTGAAAAAACCACAATATAACAGTCCTCCCAAAACGGAATGCCAGAACAATCCAAGATATCAATTAAACAGTGTTTAACAAAGGAAAACAATGAAGATATATCAGGTAATCCAAGATGCCAAAATTGATTTTATATATGTTAGTGCTTTAGTCAGCCACGGAAGTAGTACCAAATGCAAACCCAGTGCACACTAGAGCGCAAACAGTAAACAGATATTAGAGAGTCAATAAACTAGAGCAACAAAACGAGAAAGTCCTTATGCCATGACAAACCTCGTGAACTAATGGAAACACATATTGAAACATGGTAAACCCTACTAGTACCAAGTAGCTTCATATCACAATGACAAATTTTCTGGTTTCCACAAGAGCCGGCACAGATTCATTGCTAAATAATATCTGGATCTAAATAATATTTGATTCATTGCTAATCATCCAAAGGGCAACGGAATGCACAGTTGCTCCTCCAATAAATTTCTACCAAGGGGGATCAAATGTTGTTAAACTTCTAATTCACAGGTGAACAGAGAAGAAAATAGGAAACCAAATATCATCGGCAAGTCAGCACCCTATTATACAATTTGCAGATTGAGATTACAATATTACATCAGACAAGGTTCTCTAAAATGACATGGATCAAGTTTCAATGCCGCAATGAAGCAGTGACTCCAACACGACACGGACTAATATCAAAAGTATAGGACATCAAAACATACATATATATATATATATATATATATATATATGATCAACATGAAAAAAATCTAAATTGAGAATTAAGATTTATATATTCACTTTCTAAAACAAAGATTTAAAGCTTTAGAATTTTCATAAAATAATGACTCTTGCATAAAAGTACTACAAGAGAAGAAAATCACATCGGACAAGGACGAAAACACACATCAGCAACCACCAAGGTGGAGGAGCATCACCAACAATCATAGACAGCAGAAATGCAGCTGGCAACAATGGAAACCAATGAAGATTGACACCAAAAAACACAGATGCCGACAACCACCACACTGGAGCATAGCAGCAACTAACATACAAGACAAAAACAGAGGGTTTCCAACACGTGTTCAAGGTGTGTCTCTGAAGTGTTGGTGTGCAAGCAGTGGCCAACAAGTCATTCTAAAGGGGCGCCCTTGCTTTAAGGGCCACAAACACAAAATTCAGAGAGCAAACCAGAGGAATAATTGTAATTAAAAGCCAGTTTTGTGGATTTCGAATAACATACGCACAAACTCACTTTTAGTTCATATCCTTCATGAGTGTATCGCAACAGCACTACCAATGCAACTTTTTAAAAAAAATACAAACACTGATGCAATCCATTTGATAACAGTGGGAATGAATGATGAACATGTCCTTGACATTGCTGCATGTGTAAATTGTAATGGAAGAAGGACTTATTCATTACAAAAACATGCCTCCTGAAGGATGGATTATTACAGATGCCGATTCTCAAATAATAATAATAATGTGACACATGAAAGAAAAGCCTGACTGAAAGAGCACTGCTGCTATGTAAAACAGACAACCTAAGTTACTGTATCATCAATCATATAGTATGTTGTCGGCAACACGAATACAATAAACAGTAATATTTAGCAATCGATGAACTATGGCAAGTTGAAGCCAACCCTGGATCAAAACACAAGATATGCCATACTGTTAGTTATTCCCGTTGTGACCCCTGCCAGGAAGATCATGAATCAACATGAAGTCATGCCCCCTACTACCTAATGTTCATTAACGCTTTGGAATGGTGTATAGGAGAGTGAGTGCAAGTAAGGCAACAAAGTCACTCACATGACATGTTAATCCTCTGGTCTGCTTGTTTTGTCCTTGTTTTTGTTGCCATATATCAAACCCGTAACCTAGAATCGTTGAAAATGTTAAGTAATAGATTATAAGGGTGGAAGAGAGAGGGAGGGGTAAAAGTGGAACCTGAGGATCGGGAATCGGTTTCCGAGTCTCGACGTAGCGATAAGGATCAGCCTCGGCGGCGGCGAGCGCGGCCTGTTCCTGTGGGACCCAGGGAGAGTGAGTATTTGCAATTTGAAGATGGAATTGAAGAATAGAAAGAAGAGAGAAGAGAAGGAAGGAACCTGTTGTTGACGCTTGAGATCTTGGGAGGGTTTGATCCAGAGGAAGTAGGCTAGGGTTCCGGCGACCACCCAAGAAGCAAGGTTGCTTCCGCCCCTGAGACCGCCCATGGAATTGCTGACGAAGGACCTGATGTTGCCCAACGTTCTTCTCCAGCTACTCGCCATTCAAACAAACCCAACAGATTACAGATTTCTCAGAGTCACACAACAACACTCTATATGTGATTTATCAGAATCAACTGCCTCTAATACAAAAAAGTGTTTAACTCAAATGTAAATACTAAATACTGTAATTTTTATTTTATAAAAATAATAATAATTTTTCAATAATAAAACTTAAGTACAGTTTTCTTAAATACAATTCTGCATCAAAATTAAAATTTTATTTTAATAATATACATTTACATTTAATATATATTCATACATATTTAAATAAATATTTAATTTTGATTAAAAAATATCTCCTAGGGCACATAAGCCATTGTAACTAGATTTTCTCCCATTTTGTTTTGGTTTTGGAGGTGTGGTTTTTCTTGTAAGGTTGAGTAAACTTCCTAAATTTTGATTGGGTACTTTTAAACTTTATTTCATCTTTGAATATAATAGGTTTACGAGTTAAATTAAAACCAAGTCTGTTTAATATAAAGTTAAATTAACTTCAAATATTTTTTAAAAACAATTGATTTAAAATATAAAAAACATAAATTTACACTTTATAAATATAATTGAAATTTCAAAAATAATGTATATCACCATTATATCTGTATACAATATCATGAAAGTTAGATGATAATTATTTGTAATATTTTTTCCAAAAAAATGAAATTATTATGAAAAATATAAATAAAATAATTAAGTTAATATATGATGGATTTTTCGTTGAAACACAAAATAAAATAAATTGCAAAGATATAATAACTTATAATAAAGCTAAAGATGATTAAAGAATATATTAAGTTAAGTTATGAACTTTTAATTGAATTCTAAATTTTGATATTGTAAAAAAATTTTAAGTTTAGTTATTTCTATTCTAAAAAAATTTGATTATAGGTTGATTTGAATGTATTTTAAAAGGACTTTTATGAGCTTATTTACTTGCATAAACTATTTATTATAAATTTTGTCAAAAATTTCTGACGGAAATTAAATCCGTCGGAAATTTCCGACGGATCCATAACTGTCGAAAATTTTCCATCGAAAATTTACATTTTTCTTGTAGTGTATTGTCCCCTTTCTTCAATCTTACAAGTTTAGGGCCATTTTTATACGAGTTTAAAAAGAAATGATTTGTTTGAGTTGGCTAACACGTACGAGTTGCTCTACCATCCAATAGAATGTATTCATAGATAATTAATGGATGTGTTTGAAAGAAACCAGATTCAATTCGTGCCATCCCTTAAATCCTACCCAATCCCCCATCTCTCGACAAAAGAATAGAACACTTATACAAACTAAATAACCGTATCAGATATCTTTTATTTAATCAAAAGAGTAATCACACAAAACCATATCGATCAATTCTCACGCAGGCTATATTTGTTGTTGTTGGTTGGAAAAAAAAAAACAAGAATAGATCTTATACAACAACAAACAAAAAACGTAAAAACAAAAATAAATCCAACAAATTTTATAAAAAGAACACAATGTATTTATATAATTTGGTCAATTTAACTTACATCTAAGGAAAATAATAAATTTCACTATCTGAAAATAATATCAAACCTTTTTAGTAGAACAATTAACCTTTTGTTATTTTCATAAATTTCTTGATCTTTCTAATTGATTATCAATTTCCCTCTATGTATCTTCTTCATAGTTCTATGTGCTCACACTCAACACTTTATTCTTCACATTTTCTCTTTATCTCATGCACTTTATAATAGATTAAGTCTTATAAATCAAGTTAAATTAAACTTATCAAATTAATAAAGACATTAAATTCATTAGATGAATAGAGATAAATTATATATATAGTTTCAAACGAATGAAATTAAATTAAACGAATAAAATTATATAGATAAAAAACTTTATAAAACATAAGATAATATTAAAGATTTTGAGTTATAATCCATAATTATAGTAAATACGAAAAATAAATTATAAAAACATAAAGGATGATTTTAAAAGAAGATTAATTAAACACCCCTATTTAAGTACTTAGTTATATATATATATATATATATATATATATATATATATAAAATATAATATATAGAGATACACTATTATATATAAATTAAAAATAAGAAATTAAAAAAAGAAATTAAAAATAATAATTAAAAATAATAATTAAAAATAAGATTTCCGACGGAAAATTCCGTCAAAAATTTCTGACGGAAAATTTCGTCGGAAATTTCCGATGAAATATTCTGTCAGAAATTTTCCGGCGACGGATTTATTTTTCTGTCGAAAATTTCCGACGGATTTATATTTCCGTCGAAAATTTCCGACAGAAAATTTCTGACGGAAAATTTTGTCAAAAATTTCTGACGGAAATTAAATCCGTCGGAAATTTCCGACGGATCCATAACTGTCGAAAATTTTCCATCGAAAATTTACATTTTTCTTGTAGTGTATTGTCCCCTTTCTTCAATCTTACAAGTTTAGGGCCATTTTTATACGAGTTTAAAAAGAAATGATTTGTTTGAGTTGGCTAACACGTACGAGTTGCTCTCCCATCCAATAGAATGTATTCATAGATAATTAATGGATGTGTTTGAAAGAAACCAGATTCAATTCGTGCCATCCCTTAAATCCTACCCAATCCCCCATCTCTCGACAAAAGAATAGAACACTTATACAAACTAAATAACCGTATCAGATATCTTTTATTTAATTAATTTGGGACTAAATTGAAACTAATTAATTAGTTTGGGACCAAATTGAGACCAAAAATTAATGAGGGACTAAATTGAAACAAAAAAAGATTATAAGGGACCAAATTAGGTTTTTAGCCTTATTTAAAAGAGATGTTTGGATGTTAATTTTTTTAAATTTTTAAATAAGTCATAAGCTCCTAATAGAGCTTCTATTGAAGCTCAAATTTATAGTTTCTTATATTTTCAGTTTTTTGGGAAGTTGTACTATTGTTTTCACTGCACAAAATTACCTTCCTGAAAAATTAAAAATTACAATCATGTTCCACGCATTTTTCATACAACTACCCTAACTTTCACTCTCCTAATCGCGTTACTCTTTCTTTTGTGTGTATTATATTTTCGTTCGTCCCTCTTCTTTGATTTGTTAGAATTAAAGGTTAGTTTATGCTAAATTTCATCTTTGAATCTCAATTTTTTATTTAAATTTTTTATTTTCTATTTTTTGTGGATGTTTTGTGTTCATTTTCTTTTCTCTATTTTGTAAAACAAAAATTTTTCATGTTAAATGGTGGTTGTTGAGTTGAGCACGCTTGTAGCAATCTATCGACAAAAATGTTTGTTAGGGCCAATTCTCGGTGTAGTCTATAGAATTCAAATTAATTGACCTAACTGTAGGCTCTCTAGATTTGGTTTATAATACAACTAAAAGAACAAATTAAAAGAAACCATATAATTGTTATATAGTTTCATTCTAGACCATGATTGTCACTTAAAGATGTCCATGGATGGTTTAATAATGTTGCTAGAGTTGCACGAAATAATATTTTGAATTTGAATCTACTGCCATGTTGGACCCTCTTATGAAGTTATCATGAAACAAGGTTTTGGAGTTAACAACTCTTCTATAAGAAGTTGGGACATGTCAAACTATTTGCTCCTCTGCACTTGGTATGTATGGCATTCAATATGGCCATGACAACATGTTTATGGTGTCACTTGACATATCCAATTTGAATAGTTTAGGGTCACTTTCACCTTCCATCACAAGACTCTTGAACCCTAAAAGTGTCTCACTCCATGGAAATGGCTTTTTAAAGGGGTTTTTAAGTGACATTCACAAGCTACCAAGGCTAAAATTCCTCAATATGTCAAACAACATGTTTGGTGGAAACTTGAGTTGAGTTGAGTTTCCAATTCAACATATTGAGTTGGGAAACCTCATCATCTTAGACACTCTCTTCTTGCAAATTGATAAGTTAAGTGGCTAAATCCCTCATCAACTAGGAAATTCAACCAGCTTGAAAACTCTTGATCTGTCATTCAACATGCTCACTAGAGGCAACCTTTATGAGTTTTCATCTCTTCATGAGCTTACCCTCTTGAACTTGTTTATCAACAAGTAGCATGGTGAAATTCCTCACTTCATTGTTGAGCTACCTAAGTTGGGGACTCTCAAGCTTTGGAAGAACAACTTCATTAGCATGATTCCTTCAAGTCTTGGCCAAAATGGGAGGTTGGTTGAGCTTGACTTGTCAATAAATAAGCTCATTGGTTTGGTGCCAAAATCCTGGTGCCTCAAACATAGGCTAAAATTTTTGATCTTGCTTAAGAACTTCCTATTTTAATCTTTGCCACACGAACTTGGTTAATGCCACACACTCCAAAGAGTTTGGTACTCCTCATGGACTTTCTAGTTAGACACTCTTTGTTCCAAAATTTAAGTGCCAGAACAAACTCCACAAGTAAAAATAGGCTGAAGGGATAGAACTTTTACTTTGTAGAGTGAACTCTATAGAAGCAACAAGCATTCTCTAGATTTTTTAAGCATTGGTACTAGTACATGATTTGTTTGGATTGTATATGCCTCTATTGTTGAGATATGAACCTATATTTTAATATTTAAATTGCATAGGATGTTTTCATCTACCAATGATATAACATAAAGTGACTATTCATTATCATTAAACTAGTCTTCATCAAATGATGACCAAATTACAAAGGAAAAGGTGTTGGTGTTGGTGTTAGTTGTAGCTAGTGTTGCCAATTACTTCATGAATTATGTTGTGAAGAGTCCATGTAGAGATTCAAGCCTAACCAACCATAATTGGGTTTCTGAAGTTCTTAACGGTCATCCAATGCATTATTATCAAATGTTTAGATTGAAGAAATGTGTGTTTCAAAAATATGCAATATACTGCAAAACAGGTACCACGTAAAGGTGACTCAAAATGTAGGAATTCATGAGCAAGTTGGCTTGTTTTTATCCATGTTGGGTATCCCAGGTTCTGTTTGTAATTGTGAGGAGAGATTTTAGCATTCAGGTGAAACAATATCAAGACATTTTCATAGTGTCTTAGAAGTTATGTGCATGCTTACAAGAGACATAATTAAGCCTATTGATTCACCATCCAAAAAT